TTATTGAATTTTTGTGTATTTCATACAGAACATCTCAATCAATCTTAATTATCTTTATACCCCCTTCCCCACTGATACCCTCCCAAAGCTCCCCCCTGGAATTCAGACATTCTGTCATTTGTGCTAAGGCCTGTTGTGTCAAGTTAGTGTCCCCAGATGTCCCTCAGTGCAGTTTCATCTACTGAGGTCTAGTCAGCTTATCTAGATTCCCTCGCTTTAGGAAGATCAGCTCTTCCTCACCTGGCAGTAATCAGTTGCCAATATTTCCTCAGCTAAAATAGTCATCTGCTGTCCATTTCCCCAGTTCTATGCTGAGGTTTTGTCTGCTTGAGTTTGCATGGGACCTGTGTATGCTGACACCATTGCTGTAGGTTCATATGAACAGGGTTCCAGGAGCTTATAGGACTCTTATTTCCATATGGTCATGGCTCATTCTCCTTGGCTCTTACAATCTGTCTGCCTCCTCTTCCTCAATGGTTCCTGAGCCCTGGGTGGGTGTAGTTTAATAGAGAAGTCTTATCCAAGGACCAGCATTCTGAAGATCCTACGCTTCTGCCATTTGCGACCTTTTGTGTTCCTGGTCCTCTGTTGCATGAGGGAGCTTCATTTATGAGAACTGAGAGATTCATTAGGGCCCTCTTTACCCATGTTCTATGTTCTGTGATCCTTAGGTATAGAGGTTGCGTTGTAGATGTGCCACTTAGGCCTGGGCAATTCATAGACAGTGCCTGTGTGTGACCAGTTGTGGTACTTGGTAATAGTCTCTGGTACAAAAGAAGCTTCTTTGATGAGTGGTGATGGGATATTTGTCTGTAAATATAAGGATACATATTTTGCACATAGTAAGGAATTATGTTAGTCTAGGGATGTGACAGTCTTGGGGTTTTCTCTAAGATCAATGACCATTCCAACCATGTGTATCAGGTTATGTTTACGGTACCACTCTTGAGTTTCCTCCCATTGAGTGGGCTTTTATTCCAATTAGGTAGCTGTTGATTGCCTCCAAGATAAAAGTACCACTACTGCACCAATGTCATATGCTGTCATGGTCATTGATGTGATTATTTGGTCTTGAAGCTGGTGTTGGACCATTGATTGATGTTTTCCCTTGGCACTTTCACAGTGCTCTCCAAAGCTATGAGAGCTAGCCTATGGGGAAGAAACTTCCAGGTCAGTTCCAGCTCCATTGCTCCAGATCCTGTGTACGAAGTATGTTCTGTCTCAGCAGGAGGGTCTTACCTCCAAGTTCTGTGAGGTAATCAAGGGCTGTGGAAATAGCCTAAGTAATTTTGGGAATCTCTTGGACCACCCTGATCAACAACTCAAGGAAACTTTCTACTTTCTGGCACTGTTTCTAGTTATGTAGACTTTAACTATACACATGGACTCATGTAGAGATAGAGTGTGTGTCATTTGTCATTAGGTTGTTGGACTAATATGATTCCCTCTGGTTTTTCGCACTAGCTAGGCACTATTTATCTCTCTCCCCTCTCTCTCTCTCTCCCTGTCTAATCCTTCCACCATGGCTTTCCCATTTAGAGTGACCCTTTTCCCCATTTCTCCCTTGATAATTCCAGTCTCCTGCCCCCTCTCTGGCCCTCTCTCTTGAATTCCTTCTAGTTTCATTCTTCTATGTAGCTATTGAATTTGATCAGCATATCTTCAATAAATCATCTAAAAAGTTGACAGACTTGCCAGAAATTTAAGGAAAAAAAAACCCAAGGGAAATATATTAATCAATGATTATTTTCCTTCTAAAGCCCAAAGATAGCCCTAATGCCTTTTACCTCCTACCATTTTCCTTGTGAGATCTATTTTCAGTCTGTTTGCAGTTCATTTGTAGGTGATCTGTCTTCTCTCTGTTGAGATGGGGAGTTTTGTGTTTTCATTGCAAATGTGTGTAGCTATGACGCCTTTCTGTTTAGCGTGCTTAGTGTACACTATTCTGTTGCGTCTTTTAATTTGTATCACACCCACCCTGGAAATTCTTAGCCACTTGCTTAATTCCCTGAGTAGACATGTTTGACTTCTTCTGTGTTCTCTACATTACTTATCCTCTCTTGTTTTCCCTCTTTTCTCTTGATTCATCAGTCCATATAATTCCTTACATATGTATCAGTCATACAGTTTTAGTTTGCCAGTTCCCTCTTCTTTTGTATAAGATTGTTCAGTTTTAACAATTAAACATCTTTCATTTCTAAAATTTCTACTGTGTTCTTTAAAATATTGACCTGGTATTTTTTATTTTAGTTTTTGGGAGAATTTCATACATGAATACTGGATGACCATCATTTCCACCCTTCCTTCTCCCGCACCAACTCCTCCCATGAACCCTCTACCCCTCTTGAATTCATGACATCTTATATAATTATTATGGTCACACACACACACACACACACACACACACACACACACACACCCTCCTGAGTCCAGTTAGTGTTGTCTGAATATCCATATGTTTATAGCTAACCCATTAGGATTGAGAAACCTTGGGGAAGCTTGTTCCTGGAGAAAACTGATGCTTCCTCCCTTACCAGCCATTGATGGCTTATAGCTCTTCATCTAGGGGTGGGGCCTTGTCAAGTTTTCCCCATTCATGTTGACCCTGTGTGCCTATAACCACAGTGCTGGGGGTTGGGAGAGTGGGGAGACACAGCAGAGACTCTACCAGCCTAGCCAAAATGCCAAACTCCAGGTTCAATGAGAGACCATATTGCAAAAGAATGAAGCAGGGAGAGATAGACACAGGATACCCTCGCCTAGCCTCCACATGTGTGCATGGATAATTGTACCTGCATGTACTTATTCATATACCACATACATGTGCATACAGCAAAAATAAATAAAAGCTAGGATCCACACAGGAGAGATAATGTACAATGTTTGTCTTTATGATCTTGGGTTACTTCACTTAATAGATTTTCTAGTTCCACCCATTTTCATTGTTCATTTTGTGTAGGTACCACACGCTCATTGTCTGTCAGTTGATGGACATCTAGACTGATTCCATTTCCTTGCTGTTGTGAATGAAGCTGCAATAAGCATTCTGTATTAGAATATGGACCCCTTTAAGTATAATTTAACTTTCTATTAGTTGTTACTAATTGTTCAGTGTTTTCATAATGACATTTTATTTTTTTACTTCTCCAATTTCAATGTGCCCTATGTATGGTTGTCAAAATGATGTTATAATGGACATGTTAAACATGTTAACTTTGAGGTGCCTAGAAATAAAGAGTTTGACTCTCAAAGGAGAGAGAGAGGTCTTAGGAATGTAAATTTGTGAGTCATTGGCATAACTGTCAGTGCCATGGTAAGATTATTGAGGTCAAAGTAAGTAGAGATAAAAGGAAGCCATAGATACCAACCTCTCTGGAGATGGAGAAAAATGGACTAGAAAATGAGTCTGTGACTATCAAGCCTAAGAACTGGGAAAACAAAGAATGAAGGAAAGGAATCAAGGCAAGGCAGAAGGTTTCAAGGGGGCGGGTCGTAGAATTAGGTGTGGCACCTACAGTGAGAACTTCAAGTCTGATCTTTTGAAAATGGATGGGCACTACCGCTGGATAGTCACGGCGGAGTCAGCACTGAGGACAGCAGGCAGCCCCAACGTAAAAGGCAGTAGAGCCTGAAGAAGTAAAGCTAGTGCCCCCTGGGGGCCTTTCCCTCACTACAGTCTACTCTTGTTGCTTGCATGATGAAACAGCAAACTCCTGGTATGATATAATCTTCATCCACAAAAGTGCTTCAAGTCCTATAGCTGAAGAGATCCAGGAAAATGCTTGAGGTACTAGTAAGAACAGGCAAGGATGGATGGGGGTAACAATCCAAGTAATAGAAAAGAACTATAATGAAAGAATCTAAACTTGAGCTGGGACTGAAAAAGAAAAAAAGGAAATATTCCCTGCCTGGAGTGGTTAGGGCTTTCTGTAAGAAATGTCCTCAGCCTCTCTCATATTTCATTATATTCCTGTCCAATATCATTTCCTAAGTGCCTCTGTACTCACAGTATAGAATACTCCATACATTTTAAATAAATTAATATAATTAAATACAATAAAAAAGTCATCACATATAGTATGGAAATTGTGCAAGTACCCCAGAACCTAACAGCTTGCATCTAGTATTAGTAAGTCTTGCTTATTTGAATTTTAATCATCTTAATTATCATGGTAATTAAATGTGTATTGTCTGTTAATATTTAATATTTTATTTACAAATTTCTACTATATTTTACAGCATAAAGTACAGAACAGAGAAAAACTTATTTACATGCTTGTTTTAAGAATCAGAAAAATTGACAAGTTGTAAGTCCTAACTTTCAGAAAAACACAGACACACTTTTGTACTACAAACTGTACAAAGTATGCTTATGGTGTGCTTTTCCCCTGAGGTTTTATACTTTTGTAGAGGAAATTCACTTAAACGGCAGTTTTTTCTTGTGTATCTTAACCTAAAATTAAACCTTTATAAAGAAAATTCAACTATAGATTGTAGTATAAAGAAGCATCTTTAAAGTGTATAAATTGTTTTAATTGTTCTTTTAAGCCAGCCTGGAATATTTTTTCTAAACTCACAAGTGTGAGATCTAATGCAAGATTTGACTTCTTAATGTTTATCTAAAAAACACGAAGGCATAATTACATAATTTATTAATTATTCTGATCCTGCTATACTCTTCACATCCCTGTAATTTTCTTTTATAAAATACGATGAGTGAAAATTAGGAAAAGCATATTTTCTAAGCTCTCATTTCTCATTTTCTCATGTCTAGTGAAGTTGTCCTTGGAAATGACACCAGTTTCCCCGGCCTCCACACCTCAGCTCCTAAACATGGCAACATTTCACATCCTAGGAGATCCAGTGGGCCAGATTCTAGCTGGTGAAACATATTTTCCCCAGTAGGAGAATGAAAACAATGCCAAAGCAATGCATTAAGCAAACAGCTCTCCCTATATAGTTTGGTTCACAGCTGACACTCCCTTCTTCCTCCCTCACAGGTACCAGAGATTTGAAAAGGCGTTTCTCTTAGCTGTTGACATTGGTGCTCGTGACTTGTTTATGGTGAGTCATTCCCAGAGATGAGTTTTGTGCCTTCAGTTCTAAGGCTGAGTAAGTTGTCAGCTTTCGTGACCATTAAAAAGGATTAGTGTCATTTGTAGCCATGGTGGTGGGAAAGCATCAATCTGCTGGGTCTTGCAGCATTGCCTTTGCGAAGCTGGTCAATAGCTATCTAGTATCTTTTGACTTGTTGACATTTTCCTCGCCAGGGCCAAAGGATCTTTTATGTTTTCAAAGCATTTATAATTCTTGAACTTTTCTCTTGATATGAAGGGATGACACCTAATAAGTTTAAATGTCTTTCTAATCCATGCTCCAAGCAAATACAGCTTGCAGAAGCCAGGACACAGGGCAAGATATATCCCATAGATCTTGGAACCGTTTGTCCCTTAGATTTCAGTGAGAAGTAATAAATTAAATATTTTATGTGTGCTTCTTTAACATAACCACAGTGGAGAATGAATCCAAGAGGTAATAAATTCACATGAATCCTGGTCTTCCAGTTGTCAGTTGCCTAACCTGTGCTCACCATTGAGTTCCTGTTTTATAAGAATATGTACCACAATGAGGGCACATGAACAAAGGCAGCAATTTCATCATTATCAAAGAAACAATAAGACAAAAGCCTTGAAAGCAAGAAAAACTTCTGGAAAGGATTTTTACTAGAGTCTTTTTGCACTATGAAGACATTGTCATTGAAATTTATGTTAATATGGGTTCATGAGATCAGGTTACTTGTGTTTGGACTGAGTTTAATGTTAAAATTATAAGTTAAAAATTACAATTTTAAATGACATATTCTCGATTAAACTGTATTTTCATTAATCATGAAAAACAGTAATTGCTTTCAAAAGAATACACGTTTGTCATCTGAATTTTTATCTATACTTGAGTATACATATTAGTATATTGAGAAAGGTTATTTGCATTAAAATCTGTCCATGTAGACACCACAGTGTCACAGCTTTGCTACCCTTAGAGTTTATGATCTCACTGACTTCCTCCACGTTCTTATTCCAATAGAGGTAGATTTCCTTTGACATTTCTTTGTTTATGCCTGTAATCCCAGTATTTTTCTAGACCAGCTAAGAACTAAGATTAGAGTTTTAATGTTTTGTGATGGGCAAAATTTCTCTCAGAATATTGCATTCTGTAGTTTTACTGCTTTGTTAATTAATAAGCATAACCATCCAAGCCACCTTCTCAACTCTTTTTCACAAACTGTTTCCATATCTGTTTCAGAATTTTGGTCTCTCTAACCCAGTAATATAGAGAAAAATCTTTGTATTAGTTCAAACCTTCTTAAACCAAGTAGATTTTCTCCTGGTAGGTTAAAATAGAGAGGATGACTTGACTTTCTTATTTGGAAAAGTACAGCAGTTATTCAGAATATCACATCTTCACTCTTCATATAAGACTTTGCCTTTAGCCAAGGTCTATTTTGAGGAAGCTCAAAATATAGTGTTGAGGCCTCAGAGTTCTGTTTAAGTTTATGAAAAGTATTATGTATATTTGAGACTTCATGTTGAAATTATCTAAAAGAATTTGTCATGTTTCTTATAGATTGATTCTTACTATTTAAATTTCATCCATCCAGAGGTTCACAGCCTATATTCTAAGAAACATCACCGCTTTTGAAAATAAAAGTTTATAAAATAAGTAGGATTATCTCTTCTTGCAAAGGATTTATTATCCTTAAGCTAGCTCTTCCTTAAAGATTAAAAATAATACCAAAGAGACTACTGAAAAGAAGTATCACAGGCTGGGAGTGAGAGTTCAGTTTCAGAGTGCTGCCAAGCATGTACAAGGCCCTGGGTTTGATCTCCAACACCCATAAACTAGGTGTGGTGCATGCCTATAATCCTACCACTTGTGAGATGGAAACAAGGGGATCCAAAGTCAAGGTCATCCTTTGATACATAGAAATTTTGTGGCCACTCTGGGCTACATAAGGTCTGTCTCAAATAATAATAATAATAATAATAATAATAATAACCTGGGAATGAAATTAGTGGTTTTGGGATTAGCATCTTCTAGTGGTAGAATGCGCCAAGACATATCACATGACAGGAAGGGCAATGTGGCTGGAGAGCAGAGGACCAGGACTAGGTTCACTGCATGTGACTCACAGAGGAGTGATTGTGTCACACAGCTTTGATCAGGGGTCTGCAGGCTTTCTGTAGTACAGGACTATACTTTGCAAGCCTTTTGGTTACCCTCACAGCTAGGCAACACTGCTATTGTAGAGCGAAAACAGCCACTGGCAATACATAAACAGTGCTTGGCCGTGTGCCAATAAAACTTTATTTATAGACACTAAATCTTGAATATGATAAAATTTTCAAACTGGGCATGATGGCATACACTGTGAATCCTAGCACTCAGGAGACAGAGGCATGTGGATCTCAGTGAGTTCCAGGCCAGCCACGACAGTAAGACTGTCCCCACCCCCCAAAATATTTAAGTGTCGCGTAATACAACTCTTGTGATTTTTTTTTCCACTGCTTTCAACTGAAAGAGAAGAAAAGTATCTTTAGTTTCGCACCTTTGGCTGGCATACCATAGTTGGTAGGTTCCTCATTTAGAGGATGTCCTTTGGCTTCAATGTGGAGAAGAAGAGGAAAAGAGATAGGCTTTTAGTTAGAAGGGTTAAAGTAGATGCTGAGTCCATTCAGGCCCATTTCTTCGGGTCCACACCCTCATATTGACTCTTTTTTCCTTAATATTTAGGGCCTCTTGATTCATTTCCAAACTCAGCCATTGGCTATGTGATTTTTAAGTAGTTTTCATAACTGTTTGCCTCCATTTAATTGCCTGGAAAGCGGTAACACTGTGTGTTCAACTGGTATTCAACACCAATTGAAGTCTGAGATGAGGTCACATATTTGAAGTGTCTGGTGTTCTGTAATGATTTGGTAACTAGATTTTCTAGTATATATTTCCTACATGCTAGTAAATATTGCCTCACTTTTCTAATCTTTGTATAGTATTTCATTTTAAATTTTATGTATGTATGAGTAATGATGCTGGGCTTTAGATAACTAGTGAAATCTGTGTGTTTTAAAAATGTCTCCACCCAACAATTTGAAATCATTCAAGGCAGTCTGGTTTCAGAGCCTCCTCTCTTAACCACCATGGCAGCATATTACCTAGAAATAGATTCGTTTGTTATACATGAATTAAAATACAGTAAATCATTTAAAATCACTGTAGGAAAGTTTGAATAAGTTGTGTGGATAGCCTAACAGCTTGCCATTTTTCATAACAAAGTATCGGTATGCCTGATATATAAACAAATAACCAATTAGAAGTAAAAATACCAGGATAAAAAAAACTAGCAAAAGTCACAACAAAGTAATTCAAAAAATTAAAATATGGGGCTGGAGAGATGGCTCAGGGGTTAAGAGCACTGGTTGCTCTTGCAGAGGACCTGGGTTTGATTCTCAGCTCCTACATTGTTTCTCACAACTGCCCGTAACTCCAGTTCCAGGGTATCTTCTGACCACTGTGGGCATTGCATGACATGGGTGCGCTTACATACATCCAAAAAATATACTCATACACATAAAATAAAAATAAAACATTTTTAAAAATTAAAACTGAAATGATCTATAAACACCAAAAAATGTTTAGTGTCACTGTTAGTAAACAGTGGACTAAGGCATTTAAGTAGTTTATGGGGGTAAACTTTTAGGGGGACTTTTGTCAGAAGACATTTGACCATATGGGCAAATATTTTCTGTGTAATTTCTTTTCCATCCTGTTGGTCTATACGTCTGTCCTTGTGCCAATACCACATGAATTTCTTCACAGCATATTTGTAGTTAGATTTGAAAATAGGAAACTAAGTTCTTCTGCTTCATTGTACTTTTTAAAGGTTGTTTTGCATATCTGGGATCTTTGGGGATTACACATGAATTTTAGGATGCATTTTTCTATTTTTACAAAGACACATCATTGGTATTTTAATAGGATTGCATCAATCACTTTAGGAACAGCCGACATCTCTTTTTGAAGAATTTATAAGTTTTCCTCCATGTATACACCGTACGTTAAGCCCATTGCACCTCATACTCTGCCCTCCTTGTTCCTGCTCTTCCCCCTCCCATTAGTTCCCCTTTCTCCCTAGGGTAAGTGGAAGTTTGGCTTCTACCTTTATGTTGTATATACATACAAGACTTTTTGTATCTATGTAAAATCACAAACGAGGAAAAACATGTATTTGTCTTTCTGAAAATGTCTTATCACTTGATTGATTTTGTTGACCGATAATGGTTTCTGTTGTTTTTTTTAGTTGTTGTTTTGTTTTATTGGTTGCTTGATTCTTTCATCTCCAGATATTATTTTTTTCTTTCATTTATTTATTATTTTCATTTTTTATGTGTATGAGTGTTTTGCCTGCCTGTATGTAAGTGCACCATGCGCATGTAGTGCCTGCAGAGGTGAGAGGGGTTGTCAGATAGCCTGGAATTGGAATTATGGATACTTCTTAACCACCATGTAGGTGCTGGGAATCAAACGCAGGTCCTCTGGAAGAACAGCCAGTGCTCTTAACCACCGAGCCATCTCTCCAGCCCTTTATTTCCAGAAATTCTATATGGTTCGTTTTCAGTGTCTCAGTTCCTTGGCTGAATTTTTCCTCTGTTTTTACATTTTCCCTCCACCGTACTGATTCTTTCATAACTTCTTGTCTAGGTCTTCATTTGATTTAACAACTTCCTTGTTTAGGTTTCATATCTGTTCATTTGAGCTTTCTATGTGGTCATTGGTTCTTTTTTAAAAATTTTTTTATTATTTCAAAGAGGCAATTTTTAACACATTTTTCCAGATGTGTACCATTCCCCTCCTAGTGTGTGTGTGTGTGTGTGTGTGTGTGTGTGTGTGTGTGTGTGTATAAAATGGAAAATAGAAATAAGAAATAAAAAACCAAAGGATTTGCTGATATGGGGTCAACTTTGGTGGAATGATGAAGGTTTCCATTAGCTTTGTTCTTTCTTTTGGAA